ACTCCGCTTAGATAGTCCTGCTGGCACTAAAACCATCCTGGGCAGAACCCTGATCTTTTGTTGTTTTCATATTGACTCCAACATTTAATTACAGAGTATTACATTATCTTTTTCTGATTTGTAGCTCTGGAGGATTTTTAGGAGAAATTCCAAAAATGTAAAATGTTGTGTTTCCCACCCCGTGAATGAGAAGTTGCAACCAGACTAAGATTTGTCACAGTAAAAATGTCAAGTCCAACAAAATGTGCCAAAAAAAATTAAACGTTTACTGGCCACGGGGGGTGGTCATAATAATAAACATAATGGACATGATGGATATAATATTAAATGTTCAAGTGCAACCAAAGAAATCAAGTTTGCATAGTAGTAAATGCATTTGCTGAAGGACACGCTTTCTGCTGGAACTACATTTAAGATACATACATGTAAGTTCTGTTTTAATGGTAAATAGCAAGGAAAAGACATTTTCAAACAAATTTGTAGCTCATTGATTCGTATAGTTTAAAGGTATCTGGATATTGGTTAATGAAAAACAATGAATCATGAGCTCAATTTTCATTGTTGTTATACCAAACAACATGTTTTTCATGGTGGAATTTAAAGATGAAGCACAGTGGTCTCTCCGGCACCTTGGGATTTATAAGACTGCCATTTGCTCAACACACTATAGACCGGTTCTTTGTCAAGATCAGAAACTTTGGCATGTATTGCTTCCTACAGCTGCTGTACATGTACATATAGCCCAGATCAACTAAAGAAATTAGAGATGTCTGAGTGAAAATGTGAACCACAGTCAGTAACAATCAAGCACTGGTACATAATAGTACATGACTTATATGTGACAAAAGGTGAAAGCAACTTTATGCATTCGTTTGAGAGCTTTCACAACCTTAGGTCACAGTGATGTTAAAGTACCCTCGACTTGTAATGTAGCGTTTGTGTGCACCATAAAAGGTCACAAAGCTCCTGGGTGTCACAGAGAGTTGTGTTTTCCTTGCGTGCATGGTAGCCCATGCTGTGTTTGCATGCCTGCAAGATGCTGGACCACCACGCTGTTTACGAATGAAAGCACACAAGAGAAAACGTGTTACGTAACTCTGGGTCAACTGCACTGGCTAAAACAGGCAGCGTTTAGCTAAAACCATTCAAACAACATACAAAAGTTTAAAACTGTTTCAGTTTAGTGCTAAAACCACCCACCAGAGTGGTTTAAATCACCGTTTTAGTGTCGAGTTAAAACCAATTCCACATACATGTAACTTAGTGAAAGCCTTTAGACACCGTTCCAACTGAAAAGTTACTCCAAATTGAGTTCTGCTACCTGTACTGTTCTAAGGGAATTAAAACTGTGTCTGAACGTACCCTTAGAGATACATTCTTGTTCTCACTTGAGCACATGATCGGAAAAGAAAAGTTCACAAGCAAAGGGACTTACATGTACCTGTAGGTACCATAATGCCTGATGTGAAGGTCGTACATGGAATCTTCCCTTTACCAATATTCAGGCAATATTTCCACAGTTTCACCTGAAGAACACAGATAAAATTCTGATTGGTCCCTGGACAGTTTCAGTTAGAAATCGTTGTTCCAAAAATAACAGAGTGTGATAGGGTGACCTTATGTAAAATCTGATAGGCTGGTCATGTTAGGAGTCTGGTTGCTCATCACATGACCTTTTACAATGTACCTTCGGGCTCTATTAACAAAATGTAAACAAGCCACTGGAATAAATCTAGGACACTTGGAATTTTGAAATATATTCATGTAGATAATTTTGTTGTCATTTTTATCAAATTTGTTTCTATTTCAGAGGATGTACTGTCAGTGGATGCTGGTGAGTGTGTCATATGCCTTGATGATATGCAGCAGGGAGACACTATAGCTAGACTACCGTGCCTATGTATTTATCATAAAAGGTTTGTGTAATATCACTGATTTTATTCTGTTTAGGCCTGGTTATTTTGATGTCAAATGGTTTTCCTGAAGCGTTGATTCACATTTGTGTGAATGAACTGGCCTTTCCAACCGTGATCAGATGTAAATATATTGCATTTAATTGTGAACAATAATGTCACAAAGAGAGGCGAGAATTAGAATGATGCTTTGCTTAACTGTGACTCTGCTGACTTAAGTGATATCCAACATTAATTAGTCACTTGCATGTAACTTTTTTGGGAAGAGCAAGAACAAAAGATGATTTCTTACTGCTTTCTAAATTTCTGTTGGTCCTGAATCTCTGATTTTGAAAGGTCGGAAAACTGAAGGAAGTTGTGTTTAAAATTACTTGATATTTATGGTTGAGTGCCCTAATTCAGCCTTCCTTGCTGATCTATTCATCCATTCACACTGAGCAAAATGCACAAGAAATTCATTTGAAATTAAATACACTTTAACCACTTCCTGCCGGGTGGATTTTTCTTGAGCAAGACAACATGCGAGGTCCTTTTCAAGTTTTTCTGTTTTCAAAATTCTTCAAAAAATCATCATTTCATTTAATGGCCGTTTATACATGTACCAAAATGAAGGATTCTTTGGGCACTACTCTAAAGCTGACAGGTAAAATTCATTGACTCCTGAATGTTTCAGCCAGGCCTGCAGCCTTGGAAAAAGAGCCCAGATTGTGCGGTGTTACCTAAGATTCTTTTGTTCCCGAAACCGGCACCATGCACTACTGACCTCTTTTCAATAGGGGCCAGATTAGCGTGCAGCGGTGCTGTGTGGCTCATCGCTGCAGTGGTGGAGAGCTTTTGTCCCCAGTGGTAATCCACTCGCTCTAAATGCCTCAAACTGTCGTATACTGTTTCAAAACAAGGTTGGATTATCTCCACTATTGAGAGCAAAAAAAAGTTGGTAATGCCCAGCAGCTCAGTCTTTTGTGCTGAGCATGGTCTTTTGTTATAAGGCCCAACTCTTTTGTCCCAGTTCCGGGGCTCCCCGGCTCCCCGGCTCTGCATATAAAACCTATGTACACGAAAACGGGTCGCCCGATAGGGAGTGGTTAATGATAAATGTTTCAGAACCCGCCATGAAAAATAAATAGGGAAAATAGACAAAGCATAGAAGAATAACCGTACATGTAGAGGTCCATGTCTGTTTGAGAACAGAACATAGGGCTTTTGTGTTTGCAAGTTTGAGTTTATGTGTCTCTGTACTTTTGCAGTATTCATGAACTGTCATGTATTCATGAATAATCACATTTGTGTGTAAGTCTTGTAAATCTGTAGATAGGAGTGTATAATATAACATTTAAGATGATGTCTCATATCAGTATGTACATGTAGCTTTACTTCATCATGAAGTGACCCAAATTTTAAGAAGCCTATATTGTACTGTTAAAGTTTCATATCAAAGGAACTTGTAGTAAAAGATGCCCCGAGAAACTGTGTGCAACTTCAATGGATTTTTAATATTCAAAATGTTATAATAACACATGTGATGGCATCATTATAATGTGATTGCATCCAGGCTTGTTCAATATCATGCTAATTATCGAAACCAGAATATTTTTTATATTGGAAAATCAAATGGGGCCCTTTTTCATGTATCAAAATCCAATATACCTATAAATATTGCCTTTATTCTTCCACTACAATTAAAGCTTATGACGCATTAACCACATTTCTTTTGTCTAGCAGTTTTTCCTTTAAAGCTTTGGGTTCAACAAGCACATGCATACACGTACATGTACATGCTTGTCAAACTCAAAGCTTTAAAATGGACATCGTGATGATGACGTCATATGATGACAAGTCACGTGGCATTATGGGTTCACCATTGAAATCACTATATCTCCTGAAGTACATGTCTGATTCGGTTGAAATGTTGCAGATGATAGAAAGGGAAGTGTCATATGATGACATGTGATGATGATGTCATTAAGTGACAAGTCATGTAAAATTATAGGTGCATCATTTCAATCATATCCTCTGAAGTGCAACATTTAAATCAGTACATCTCCTGGAGTAGTACTGTAGACTTAAAGAGCATTGTTTCATTGCTGCCGATTCCAGTCTTGTTTCTTTCTCCAGCCGAAAGAGTTTCCCGAAATAGCTCAGTGTTTGTGTACCAACAAACACAACGTCCATCTACTTTTTAATTTTTGTTTCATTATTTCAGAGGTTGTTTAATGCATGAACAAAGATGTGATGTCATCCCAGGAAGAAAGCCTCAGTGTTGCATTAGTTTGTACACAAAAAGTTCTACATTTCTGTGCATTTCGCTCCACCAAATGTTCTTTTCTTTACTGCTTCATTGTTGTTCATATGCATAGCAATAAGTATTAAGTGTAAATCCCTTTTTCAGAAATGTTTTCAGTATTAAAATAAATTCTGGGATCACAATTTGAACAGAAAAACCTGTGCAGTGAACTACATGTACATGTTTGTCTTCCTAGGATGACATAGCAACAGTGCCCTCAGTGTTCAACAAAGTGCATTTTTCAGTGACTTTAGCCAAAAGGAATTTAAAGTGTTCTCATACATTGAAAAATTGTGTCTAAGAAAATTCATCATGGCCACACCTTAACTTCTGGCCTGATGACATCATCAGCCCAAATTTTTGCGCATACAGCTCAAACAACTTCGCCTTAGACATCACCTTATTATTCATTTGGAGGTTTTCAACCTGCCACGAGAGGGCACTTGAGTATTTCATAATGTCATTGGTATATGATATGAAAAATACCATTTGGCTAGAGACTAACATAATTTAAAGCAATTTTATATCTTGTACCAAATTTAAACAAGAAGGCACTTTTGATTTTGACTGGTTTTGACTGGCAGCAAGGGTCACATGATTTAACGTACACAAGTAAATATGGAGATCTATTTTATTCTATCACCTGCCACAACAAACAAGTTGCAGGAACTCATGATAGATTTAATACGGTGTAGTAGGATGCCATAAGGAGGCTTGGTCCTACTGTGAAATGGACCAAGCACTGGGCATGGTATGAAGACCAAGAGAGTCAGGATATTTGTTGCTTACAGCAGAATCTTGATTTATTGGTGACTAGCTGCTGTCATAGGCATCCTTGGGAGCTAGAACCTGGACGGAAAAAACCCCTATTGCCTCAAAATGTAACTGTCTATGCTCTCCCAGATCCCTCCAAATTAGAACTCCATGGCAAGCTCAGTGAAAGTCTTAGACCATGTTATATCACTGTCATGTCACAATTTTGTTTAATCTAGTCAGTTGTCAAAAACAATCTTAGAACTTTGGTGGAGGTCTACCAAGTTCAATCCATCCTTACACACGGGAAGCACAAAGGTCATCAATCTGTAACAACTTGGCACACAGATATGCAAATAACCTGGATACAATGTGGATTAGCTACACCATTATGCACATGCACACAGCAAAGTCGCCCTTGCTAAGGCACAGTCCCCTACTTCTTCCTTACTTTAAAACCATGCTGTCTTGAATGGTCTAAGCATGTAAATCAACAAACATTAGGCTACTGACACACGTCATCGTCAACTGCCTTAAAATTTCAGAGTTAACAGCACCACATACGAGTACGTCAATTCGTGAAAATGTTTTTATTGAAATGAGAGGCCATAACACATTAAGACACCTGCGCATGTTACAATAATAAACTTCGTTCATAAATTTAGCAGAATAGTAAAATCTTTTACACTGCACTGGCGTCAGCGACCTATAAAATAAACACTTATTTATTCGAAACATGGCATCAGCCAGAAGCCATCAGAATATGCGTTAGAGCAACGTCATCAAGCAAAGCACAAATACTGCTGTAGTGCTATTAACTACCCCTGTACTTCATACTCATTACATTCACAGGGATGGATTTACTGCTCCCACTCAGGCTACAAAATATGCCTCTTTAACAATTGAAAATGCCATGTAAAGTAAATGTACATCAAAGCTTTCCTTAATGAATTAACAGATCAGTGTAACACCAGTGAAACACCTTTGCCTCACAGTAACAAAATTGAATTGGTGCACATTTATCAGGTTGGAAATACCCACACCATACTGCATTTTCATTGGTGAACTAACCTGATAGGGCCAGCAACCCTTCTTATGTGCAAAAGGTGGTAGAGTGCAATAAATTGTAACAAAGTTCTTATTTGAACGCTGGTCAAAAAGAACTCTGTTGTTTATATCACTCACAGTAAGTCAGTCAGTTATTAATACTCAAACCAAATTGTAACATTGGTCATGCATTTGCAATGACTAGCTCTACTAGACTCATACAAATTCAAGTCTTCCCCGACTTGGAGAAAATCCAATAGCATCTTGACCCACAAAGATCAAGCTTACATTAATCCTTGCAACACAGAGTGCATTTCGAAGTTGCATGTGCCTTACCACACAACCACAGAGCAAGCATCCTTTGGCACCTTAAAACACTTGAATATACATGTAACTGTAATTAGTTACATGGATCAACGAATAAATGCACCAATAGCAACACCATCATTATCAAACTCTATATCCAGCTGAGGGACGTTGAGCCACTCACACTGACTGGTCAGCTGACGTGCCAGAGATCAAGAGCTAACATTCAGGCGGCCACATGATCGTGACCAGTTCGGAAGCGAAGAGACTCCATCAGACCCATCGACAGCCAGCTTAAGGGTGGTATGAACTGGGGCACTGCTTGGTAGGTGACGACCGTGCCCAAAAGAGGGAGTGGCATCACTTTGATATGATGGAGTGGATGTCCTCCAGGTTTGTTTCATGTGAAAAGGCCTCATTGGTGATGAGGTCAAGCCATCAGACCCCAAGAATGTGCCATTGACATATCACGTGGGAGGCCTGGAGTCCATGGCTATCCTCGAGCAAAGTCCAGATTGCTGACTCATACAGCAGCACCGGCAGGATGCACGTGGTATAGGTCCGGACTGCTGTAGAGTGAGACAGTCATTTGTTTCTCCAAATACGATCCAACTGGCCTGTAGTTGAAGAGGCCAAAGTGATATAGTGATTGATTTTGTGTGAGCAGTTGGTGGAATGTACATGTATGTTGGAGCCAATGTGTGTGCATTTGCATGTATCTATTGCCTCAACTGTCTGGCCTGCCACAGTGATGGAAGGGGGCCTGAGCCTGTGTTTGGATCTTGGTCTTAGCCCAGAATAAGTGCAGACCCATTGTAGCCACTTCCTCCTCAAACTTAAGAAGCTTTGAATGCCATCTGTCTGCATCATCAATGTGAAGTCAGTGAAGAGAGCACTGCCAATAGTGATTCCCCACTCCCCGATATCTCTCAGGATCCAGTCAATGGCATGGCAGAGAAGAGTGGGGGCTGAGATGCCTTGCTGACAAATACATGTACCTGAAGCTGTTGGGAAGGAGTCAGACACATCGCTGCCACTCCAGACTATGGACGTTGTGCCATTGTGTAGGTCCTTGATTAGGTTGAGAAGGAGTGTGGGCATGAAGGATGCTGTAATTGCTTTCCACAAGGCATTTCTGTCCACCAAGTCGAAAGTAGCCTTGATATCAATGTAGGCCACATTGAGAGGCCTCGTGAATTTGCGGTGGAGATCTGAAAGGAGCTGTAGAGCAAGTACAGCATCCACAGTTGAGTGGCCCTTTGTAAAACCAGACTGGTGTGGGTAGTGTCAATAACAGGTCAGTAACAGTTATGGTCTGAGGAGGATAATGTGACAGAACACCTTCCCTGGGACTGATAGAAGTGTGATTAATGAGTAACTACCACACTGATTCCAGGGACCCTTTCCCTCATACAAGGAAATGATGATTCTGTCCCTCCACTCTGCAGATACCCTACATACGACCCAGACCTTGTTGATGAGATTATTAAGGGCTAGGCTGACGGGTCTCAGTGCACTTCAGCAGCTCCGAGCAGAAACCATCAGAACCTGCGGCCCGGCTGTTCTTAAGCTTTCTGATGGCTTGACGTACCTCTAGTAATGAGGAGGCATCAAGGGAGATATTTGATGTGGTGGGAACCACTGTGGCTGCAGCACCCAAGTCAGGGCAGGGGGTTGCGGGTGCATGGTTTAGCATAGCCTCATAGTGTCATGCCAGCAAGCCTGTGTTTCCTCAGTTAACGTGCAGGCAGAGCCGTCACACTTTGAGATTAATGGTGTATTATGATTCTGCTGCAGAGTGCCACTCGGGGATTTGACTACGGTAGGATGAGTAAAGGTTGTTTGTAGAGAGCCCCTTTTCGCTTCATCTGCCAGGCTGTATGTATAGTACGATATTTTGTGAGTGCTTGGCTCGGACCAGAATTGCTTGTTTAGCTCTGAGCATTGGAAAAAACATGTTCACCATGATTTTGGCTGATGTTTCAGTTTAAAAATGTACTTCGTGAATGTGGAGGTCATTTGCACAACTTCCGCCCATCAGTACTCTAGTGATAAGAAAACTGCATATCCTGCCTTTATTATCACAGTCTGTTGCCGCCCCAGACCAAACAAAATATCCAAGACCTTCCTGTGGTAGCGATTCATCTGATGATAGTGCCCTGTAACAGTTTGATGGTTCGTGTCATGGAATAAAGTACCGGAAGGTCTTGGAACCAAGACTATGGGAGCTAGAGCCCAGAGGGATAAAAGCCCCGATTGGCTCAAAATGTTATAATCTAAGCTATCCGGGACCCCTATGAATTAGAACTCCATGGCAAGCCTGATGAAAGTCTTAGACCATGTCATATCACTGTCTGGTAATTCATATGCAGAAAAGGTTTCTCAGCATGTAAATTATACTCCAAGCAACATAAGCTTCAATAAATACATCATAAGTTACTACATAATTCAAGGAGTTACTGTCTACTGCAACAATTTTGTTTAATCTAGTCAGTTATCAAAAGCAATCGTAGAACTTATTTTCCTGGTAGAGGTCTACCAAGTTCAACCAGTCCTTGCATGTGGGAAGCAAAAAGGAAAAAACTTGGCACACAGTATCCAGGAACAATGTGGATGTGGACTTTGACAACAGATGTTACTAAAAAAGAAATGGAGAAAGGGAAATGTAAATGCCATATACACATGAACTCATGGAATACAACAGCCGCCTTCGGTGAGAAAAAATGCAAATGTTCCAACTTTGCCAAATTGGTCTGTCTGTAACAGACATGTATGTTAGATCTTCATTGTTATATCAGGATACACTACATGCATGCAAATGCCCTTCAAACTAATGTGAAAAGCTTTGGATACCTGTCACAAAGTGAGAGTTCAGTCTCTTCATTTTTACCCTTTGTCCTGAGATGCCAAGAGAATACGAGAATTTTAGGCATATGAGGTTCATTTCCAGCTGCACAAGTACAAGCATACCATTCCTTCGGATAGCCCAACAAAAAGGATTCCACTTTTCATTGGTACATAATTATGTGCCTGATGGAAGGAAAAGTTAAAACAGTATTTTTTCAGTGTTTTTTAATGTGGATGAAGGTTTCCTGCATTGGGCAAAAACAGAACAAAATAAACTGTGCCTAAAAGTCAATGGTCAAGATTAAAATGACGAGATTTCATCAAATGGTGCTTTAATACAGCTTCTGAACACTAACGTGTATAAAGATTTTGTATTTGGTAGTGGTTTTGTTTGTTCTGTTATTTACTTAATCATGAATACATACTTGAATTTATTTTATTAAAGTCACCTTAAGTAATGGCTCAATTTTTAAGTTTTCCGTAAAATATCTCAGAACTTTGTGAAGACAGCAGGAAACAACTGTTTGGTTTAATGCATTACATATGTGCAGATGTAATATCATGGTCACTTTATTGATTTGGGTAATTTTTTTACCTTTTCGGATGAAATTTTAGGGACAATTTGACCTGGGTTTACCTTAGCTTTAAAAAATCTGCTCAAAATGAAGTCTTTAGTAAATAATAAAACTCAATGAAAATATTTTTGTAATATATATCATTATGTAATAAAATAAAGTATATCAATGAAAGAATAGTAGGAAATAACCCTTCTTAAAAGTATGAAGTGGAATCAGCTTAACCATGGCTAGACCTTAAGCAGTCATTTTTCATAAACTTTAGTCTTCTCAGTTCTTTCAACAGCACTTCCATCCCCTTAAAAATATGTTAATGAATTTCACACTTTTATTATTTACTTTCATATGCGTGGTATATAATATGTTTTATTTAGTAATTTCTCAGATAATTTTTTATTTTACATTGGGAATAAGTGGGCATTTTTAATTTAAGTATCACTGATGGAGTCAGAAATGCATGCCGCTGTAAACAATGGCAAAAAATTGATTGGTCAAATAAAATTGAATAGATGGGTACAATACATTGGGTGAGAAACTGTTGATAGTGTAGTTAGACATTCATGCTATCATGCAGTTCAGCTTGCTTCAATTTCATTTTCTCACACATTAAAAATTTACTCAAATGATTGTCTTTATTTTATCACAGTTGTATCGACATGTGGTTTGAGAGAAATCGATCTTGTCCTGAGCATCCATCAGACTAGACAGCCATATTGTCATCTCATCTAACTTTCCGGTATCAGGTAAATTTTGTCATGATATCGATGGATAGTGACAGGTTGCCTACATAACATTATTTATCAAAGCCAGCGTAATCAGTACAAGCTACCGGTACCCTAATGGATGAAATACAGTGCTTTCTGCCTTTGAAAATTAACCGTCTAATGGGATTAGATCCATTCACATTTATCCTGTTGGAATCAAAAACGATTACAGTGCTTTGCTGTTTCACACTACTCCAGGATTGAGACAGGACTAGCACTGTGGATGACAGGTTCAGCTTGGTTGTTTTAGGGGGTACAATGGCATTAATAGAACATACATATCAGTAGCACACCATTGGAATATTTGCTCCTCATTGGTGGAATGTTAGTGGCTCACTGGGGAAATATTAGTAGCTCATTATTGGAATGTTATACAAATAATAAATGGTTAGATTGCAGTAGTGTAAGAGTAATTTCATTAGGCGACAGAAGAAATGTTCCATTTGTGAAGGGAAAAAATACTGTGAAGCATTCATTAATTACCTTACCTTCAGACGAATTTGATTCTCAATTCTGATTGGTCGATTCATGGCAACAAGCAGTATGATATATAACCGTATTGCACGGTTCATATTAAACCCTGGGAAACGCGCTGTTCTAACTCAACGCATTGCGCTATTTTTACGTTCAAAGCAAACGCACATCTACATGACTGTAAATTCAAAAGTGACGTGTTTGCCCATGCTGATCATTACATAATGCTTAAAAGCAAGTACAATACTAACAATTTCCTTTCTTAGTGTAAGCCCTGTTGTAACTGTTATTATTGAAACAAGATAAAGCACAAATAATTCCCATGCTCCCTAGATAAAATTGCAGAATTGTGGTACATCGGTGTTACTGTTTTGCTGTGCGCTATATATCTTTAATATAGGCCCTTTTATTTTCTCTACTGCATTTCAAGTTTGCTTGACAATAAATTCATTATCACGCTCGCGCTCAAATATTCAGGAGTCAGTGAAAGTTACCTGTCAGCTTCAGAGAAGTGCCCAAAGAGTCCTTCATTTTGGTATAAATGGCCATTAAATGAAATGATGAACCTTTGAAGAATTTTGAAAACAGTCTTGCTCAAGGGGTGGGGTCATAGCAATGAGCATGAGAAAACTTGGACCCGTTTTTAGCCAGAAAAACAAACCAACTCTATTTTATTTTATGTTACATAAAATCCCCTTTGTATATGCAACAATAAAAAGATATGTTAGGTTTACTCACCCAAATTAGACTGATTTTGAACCGAGAAAACCTGCAATAGGATTCTGTTCAGTGGCTGAAAGTGCTTGTCATATGATTCTACAGCTTCTTATAAAGCACTGTGCTGGGTACACCCCACTTGTCATACGAGCACATGAATGGTGCCCTCAGCCACTTGAGATGTGCAGTAATAACCTCAGCTAATTTGCCAATTTAATATTAGCTGCTTATTGGAATGTTAATTGCTTATCAGTGGAATATTAGTAGATCATTAGTGGAATGTTACCAGCTAACCAGTTGATCAGTAGAATGTTAAACCAGTTGAATATTAATTAATATTAATTAATTGGTGTAATGTTAGCAGCTCAATTGTAAAGTGTTAGGGGTCACCAATGGAAAAGTTCCTCACTAGGAATTTGATGTGGTCATTTATTCATTATGATAGATGAACCTTCCTATATAGCTCAGCAGGTTTGCATTTGTTTTGCCAAAGTCTAGAGTAAAGTAAAAGGCACAAGAAAGATGCTTCACAATTGCTTACAAATGACAATACCGTTTCAAATGTGAAAAATGATTTCTGCAACCCGACTTATTGAAGTTCCAATCATGGCCTGCCTATCCATCCATTGTAATAGTATACAAATAATTACTGCTTTGAGTGGTATAGTAAAATGAGCCTCCCGAGGTTATCCATGGATCGCTGATCCAAGGGAAAATAGAATGCTTCATGGATCACCGAAGGAGACCAGTTTTATTTTACCGAGAGATAAAGCAGTCAGTATTTGTTTTTTATACAACACTTACATAAATCCCGGTCATCTGATCGGTGGATCGTTGATCATATGGTATTGAATTATTTTTACCAACGCACAGCACGCACAGGACATGTGTGCGATGTGCAATTATTCTTACCATCGCACTCATACACATTCATTATTTCTATAATAACATGTCACACCCACAGATTCTGCACAATTTAAGCTAACAATTAATAATGAAACACCAAAAATCAAATCGTCGGTGTTCTATTTTGCAAATCGTATGGGACATTAGAATGTGTGTACCAACAACAACACACTTCGTGACATAGCGGTGTTTTGAAGGACACTTTAATATTTGCATCTTTGTTCTCTTAACCTATTAAATTTGTAGCTAGTACATGTACATAGCCTAGTTCAATTGGTTCGAGGGTGACAGATAAAGGTTTGCGCTATGAGCCGAAATACATGCTTTGGTAGGCTACTATTCATGGTTTCATTGCTACGGATATAGTTCTTTGGTTGTTATGGGTATAATTCTTTTTCAGAGCGAGGCTGCATAGTCTTTTGGAGTGGTGGTACAAAAATAGTAAAACTAGCAAGCATCACATGACACACATTCGGCCAATCAAGATACAGAATCTGAGGGTTAGGTGTCGTAAAAGCCATTACTGTGATAGTACAACACTTGCAGATTGTACACATGCTTTAAATGTCTCTGCAACTAATATGGTGTAAAATATGCCTGCCCTCAGTTAAGAATGCATGCGGAGGATGAGTGTGGTACAAATAATATATGGGTAGTCAACAGAAATTTTTGCTGCTTGCGGGATCAAGTAGGCTGATGGTTGGCCACCCTGTTGGTACTGCTTGTGGAAGTCAGTATACCAGTGGTGGTCCACAGGCCTTTACCAGATGGGTTGGGGATCAGCCCTAGTGCAGGCTTATGCAGTAGTAACTTCAGGTTTCAGGGCGCATACCCAAGTTGTCATCTCAGTTTTATATAAATCAGGATTATAAAGTACTAGGGTACCCCTCCATCCCATATCTTGCTGGCTATATCAAGTCTGATACTATTCAAATGAATTGTGATAAAACAGGCTTTTTTCCACTTATAATATCTTTGACTTGACATTAGAGTCAACGAGATTACAATGAATGAAAAGGGCTTAGATGAACTGTAGAATGGTTGAAGCCTGTACAACATTCTCTGTAGTTAATCTTTGATCTTTCCTTTTTGTTTGTTGATGCAGGGAAATTGGTTGATGAATCAAATGTGGTAGCCAAGACTTGTATATATATACTTGAACTATGGCAGACAGGAGCTCTTCGAAGGTGTTACTGAGGCTAAATTGACTATGCGGGACACCTGTTTGTTTAACAGATTTCTGTCTGAAAGAACTAAATCACCGGGGATGTCTACTATGAATGCCCACTTGTGGGAAGGCATGCTGTATGCATTCATTACAATGATGCATCCATCTGTTTAAACCTTCAGCATTTTCCTGAAGAAACAAACATATTGCTGAGAGTGTCAACTGATACCTCCCGGCATTTTGTGGTGTGTGACAACTAAATAATTACGGATTTTGCCTTAAACGAATAAAATCTTGAAAGGCAGTGTGTGCATATAATTGTTTATTATTTGATTGACATTTTACACCCACATACATGGCTCAATGTGTTTATGTGACCCTGCATACCACATCTTGAACATGGGTGACAATATAGGGCATTGAAGTATTTGGTAGTGGTATTTTTTCTACAGTATCAGGCATTTGTGTACTTCAACCTGAAACTTTGTGCCATTAACATGCACAAAGTAGTGCATACAGGCAGAGCTTTTTCATTGGTTCCCATGAATTCCCCACATCATGCCATCTGTAGTACAGTCCCTGCATGCATGGACATCATATAAAAAGTATGGACTTTCAGTGCCTTAATCAGCCTACATGAACATACATGTACATGTAGGTCATTGAAGCCAGTGGCAGCCATCTTAGTGTCAAAACAAAGGTAATGCAACTTTAGGCTTCCTCAGTTTGGTAGTCAGACTTTATTCAAAAGGGAGTTGCACTACTACAAACTAAAAACAATGGTAAAATTGGCTCTAAAGAGACACTTCTTTATGATGACCTAAAGACAGATGGTACATGTAACTTCAAAGTTTTGCTATGAAAGTGACATTGCATTCAACATACCATTAAATTTTCCTAGAAATTATTTATGACGGTCATTGTATTTAAAGTTATATTTTAGGCCCTGTGTATGTTGTCTACTGTTAGTTATAATATGGATGTTGAGCTCTTTCATAGATTAGAACCCTGTATGTATGCACATACATGTGCTTGTATGTAAATGTTCATGGAACTTGGATGTAACCTGTGTTTGTAGGTGCTCCATGCCTATGTGCCCTATGAGGGTGTAACTACATCAAGATCAACAAGCATAGAGCTATGTATAAAAACTAGAGCGCTAACTTCTCATTCTCCATGGGGAGAAAATTTGACGTCGTCCCACATGTCCCATGTGCATGCTTGTAGAACATTTGAAATCAGATAGAACGGATATTGAATTATTCTAACTGCAACACGCAAATACAACATAAGCGAACGTCAGTGTGTCTTTTCAATTAAGATGCACACTTGCAAAGCAATGGCACATATTTATCAACATAGCTGATTATTTTAAAACGAATGATTCTCTAACATTCGAGTAAGGTCATCCGATGTCGTATGCATGTCTTTTGATGGCTGTCTTTCAATGAATAAGTTCAGCGAAATTAAAAAGTCTTTCCCTAAAATTAGTCAGTGTGAAGTGAACTGATGGCTATAGAGCAGCAGCTGTCGTGCACATCGGGTACCAGTAAAACCAATTTAAAAACGTTTGCAGTTTTTTGGCACAGAGCAAAAAGAACCGCTCATTTACTGATGGTGCATTCAGGTTGTTTGCATATCGTCTCTGTTGACATATTGTTTTAGAATACAGATGCAGATATATGCCAATAGCCATACAAAAGCCATCCAAATTTTCGAGTTTTCAATAGGTTTGTGCAGAAACATTGATGTGCCCAGTGGGCATCACTTTGAACATGAGCCAGCACTCCAGGGATTTTATATAGCTCTATGGGGTTGGAGTCATTGTCAATATATTCCCCAGTGAGCAATAGAGCCTGAAAGTGAAAGGTCACACAGCCAGCTTCCGGAACCCTCGCACAGTCTGCCTATAGGGATTTTACATTGGGCCGTTCTATCACCTTCGATAATTTTTAGAAGAATAATTCTTAAGTTAACTAAAACCACCTCATGAAACCCTCGTGTTGGAATTTTACCTTTGTCTTCCTCAAGTAATATTTAGGAAAAGTCACCTGGAGATAGGTAAAAACCGAATTTTGTTTATGACTTTCGCGTCCGGCAATATTGTACCTAGGTCTCCTTGTTCATGCATGTTTGATTTCACTCCCTGTGCTTTGTGAAAATGAGATTTTACCATGTTGCAAAGATTTACCTACGTGCAGTTGATGGGTTCCAGATTCCGCAGAGTTAACATGCACTTGTTGTCAGCAAACATTAGATAAAATATCAGAGTCTTTCCTAAACATAGAATATTGCTTTAACTTTATTACCTTCTAAATTATAAAAGTGTTTAAAATATTTTGATCTGTTTTTATTTTGGCTTTTACCGACAGACTACCATGAAAATTTCAAACTGTAAATGTTCACCTGCGTACGAGACTGCCACATTGCACTGTTCATGTATTTTAAATTTTTGGAAGTGCTGGGTCAATTTTTGGCAGGATATTTCTCTTTTAGATGAGGTAATTTTTCAGTTTCTTTAAATTGATATACTAGCAAATATTTTCCAAAGCCCCTTTTCCGAGTTGGATTTTTTAAGAAGCAACTGTACGGAAAAATATTACAAATTTTAAAATCTTTGCACATTATTTTTCCTATCCAAGGGTTCCAGAAGCGCGCCATCAGGGGTCAGCTTTCAGGCTCTATAATACCTGGGTACTAAAATCTCTTTTGATAGTGAATGGGAACCAGCTCTCACAGGTCGAGTGGTTTTCTGCTCCTAGGAACCAGTGCCAGTGACACAAAAACCTGTGCATGTATACATTGAGTTCCCATCAAAGAACCGCCATTGCTATGTAAAAACTTACACCATTTTTTATTCCATCATCAAAACAGATAATGTACCCGTATTTGATTAGTATTGATATTTTGTTGCTTGTAGTCAAGGGTGTTGTGAGGGGAACCAAGGGTTGCACTTGTCCTCTTGCCCTGAAAAATGAAAAATAAAAACAAGAAAAACTGAAAACAAAAAAGGGAGAAAAGGGGTGAAATCAACAATATGCTTGAAAATACAAAATGATTTATCAGTTTGTTGCTGATGTGTTCTATTCCCCTCCAGGTGATGCCCATGGCTGTTGGGTGTTATTGAGGCACTGAATAGTCTAGATTCCTGACCACAATATTCTTGTAAATCCTGACTTAAGTGGGGAAACTGATAGGACTTGGCAGGCATGGGAATTACGCTCGTGTTATATTTGCACAGCTGCCTAAAGTTTCTTAGCACATCTCACTAAACCTGTATGTGTAGCTCCAAAAAAGTACCGAAATTTTGTGTCTGCATGGACTAGTTCTGGTTCTTGTTTCGTTTGGCTGATACCAAACAGCTTTGGACCAAGGTGCCATGGGAACTATAAATATACAGAAATCAAAATTCCAAAACTGAGCAGATGTTCAAATTGTTCATACATGCATAACAAGGGCCTTTAAAAAGTGGGATAATTATTGATAGTTTGTAATGTTTCCACATCTAGGGAGTAATTTTTATCTTGTATCCAATGCTAGGCTAATTGAAACCAAATTTAATCAAAGCAAACGACACATGCCTTTCACATTATATATCCACTGGAGTAAGTAAGAGCTGGCCAGCAGTATTTGTAGAGCAGTGTTGATTTTGCATGTTAAATCATGACACAAACTGCATGTATCTTTAATTGTATGGACACTGAAGTATCTCTTTTTGTGTATGTGTTCCTCAGTTATTAGATTCAAATAGATTATGATTTCTTTGTACAAAGTGTGCAGCAGAAAATGTTCCAAATTTTAAAAAAAGGTGCAGCAGCGATATCAGTACTACAATCAAGTACATACTTGCTAAAAGACAGACACAACATGAAAGACAACAGAATGTAGAAATTGAAGCAATTGTTTATCAACACGTTTCAAAATACTAGAGTACTGATTGCTGATTTCTTGCTGACAGGTAGTAGTATCATTGGGTATACGCTGTTTATATGACTTACATAATTGTGTTTAAACAGTGTACTGTCTAAAACTTTTAGCATGCCTTCTGTTGAAATGCTGATGTGTCTATTACCAAATGACTAGTAGTGACAACAATAGTTGATCGCAGGTTACATTTCTTTTCCCCAATAGTGTTTTGGGGGTACCTCATCGGATGCATTTCAAAGTACAGTTTAATCTGCGAGTAAGCCAGTACACCTTGTTGAACCTTAATACATGTTGTTAAATTGGGGTACAGGAGTTTCATTTTAATCCCAACTCTACAAATGTCAGTGAAACTGCAAAGGTCTCATTCAGTGATGTGGACGTATCTGCTCATGAAAGCTACATACACTTATTCTCTTTTTCATGTTCATTTCTGAGGAAAGTTCAGATTTGGGTTAAAAGGCCTTGAACATAAAAAAAAAATTTTGTACAATCATAGACTAAATTTGTAATTACTTTTTGGTTAGAAGGCCCAACCGCAGTGCGGAATTATGACCATATTCCTGAATTGTATCTGTTTAAGAGGTTTACTTTTAAACATTGTTTAACTACCGGTACTTCTAGTAGGTTCCATGCCTTGAATGGTGTACATGAAGTTAATTCTTACTTTAAATTGTTCGCTGTAAAAAAGTGGTTAGTTACAGAGTTTAAAAAGTTAGAATCTAGAGATATGGGGATGCAATAATCTAAGCAATGAACTGTACAGAGTACAAGTGTGTTCAAGAAACGTATGTGTAAATCAGTAGGTTATTCCCAGTGCACATTGTACAGTAACATTTTAACATAGAACCTTGTTAATTAAATCTTGTATTGTATAGTTTGGTCATAATTGAGTTAAAATGCTGTGCTGTATCACTCAGACATAAGGAATGAATTCATTTAACACAACATACATTGATTGGGACATGTATAGCTGTGACAAGTTTTTATATTATCTACTAAAAAGACAGCACTTACAGATTTTCCATGCATATGTGATAATTATTTTTTTGGAGTAAGTTCAGTTCATTGTTGAGATGTTTGTAGCATGCAGTTACAGTCAAAAGATAGTTTAAAACATGAGATTACAAAGCAACTATTGTAATGATAGTCCACGGATAATTCAAGCTTGACATGACTATTTCAGGACATCACATTGCGTGTTGTGACTAGCTGAGGAGAATGCAAGGCACATTTTGAAATGTTGCATGAAGTACATGTACATGTATGTACAGTCGAACCTTGTTAATAAGAGGGCCTACAGACGTGTTACGTTACCTTTTTATAACAGGAAACTTAATCAGAAATAAAAACATTGAAAATTGAGACCTAAAATTTTCCTTGTTATAAGTAGAATCTTGTATTAACAGTGCTCTTATTAACGAGGTTGGACTGTATTTGAGTAATTTAAATTACATGAATGTGTTTTGATACGTAAATACATTCGTAGAGTTTTTGTTTCAGTAGTATTTAAGCCCATCAAGTAAAAAAAAGACAGAACTTAGTCGTATCTAAGTAATCATAAAATAAACGAATTCCAAATTATGACCTATTACTGAGGTTCCTTGTTTGTAGTCATAAGCCTATTTGAGGTATGAATGACATAATACGAGGGTGGGTTAGTAACCAGGTGGATTATACTTATGTGTTTTGTAATTCCCTCAGTTATCCGCCTGGGCAAAGTAGTAATTGCCCGTGTGAAATAATATGTCACCCCAGGCGAAAAAGTAAGCTGCCCAGCAAATAAGTGGGCATTCACTCATCTTTTGTGTGCCAAAGTGAATTTACGCACATAATTGCGTGTGTAAATGGCACAAGCACAGATACCTGTTTACATACAAAGTGTGGACATTCCTTTGTTCTTCTGTGGTTAAGGAAACTTGAGGAAAATGCTCGTTTTTCTCCAACTAGGATAACTCCTTCGAGCTGGATTTTTATGATGATTTCTTGGACTGTTCCTCGTCATTTGCCACGGATAACCTTGAACCCGAAATGCCTCTGAAACTGTTTTTATTATGTTGACTCCTTTTGGGCAGAGGTCCACACTATGTATGCCACGCATGCACACGAGAGCCAACACGTGAGCAAACTTCATTCGTTTGTATGTGTATTACACTTCGTGGTTCAAAATGCCACACATCGGTACTCAATACATGTAGTGTTTACTGCAGCGCACCGGTAAGATAGAATTGGGATGATCAGTGTATAGCTGCACTGCTACCAAAAGTACTGTGGCGTGTCTCCTTGAGGGCCTTCAGCCTAACCTAATTAAGTTCGACGGTCATGTCTGAGAATGGTTGGGGTCTAAACTCTAACCTAAACTTGGGTTCCTCCTTCGTCCGGAGATCACTCAGAGCGACCTAAAGGCTAAGGGAGCATCCGTTTTGATGGAAATGGACCGCCGATTGTATGGACTGTGATGCTTTCTGCCGATTTGGTAACACGCAACAAAAAGAAAACCTTACAATTAGATCGTCGG